GATGGGTCTGTGGATCCTGTGCTGAGCTTTCATTCTGTAGAGGGTAGCAGGAATTTCCCAGAGCAGAAAAGCATCCCACAGGCTTGCTGCAGTGGTGACAGCAGTAAGTTCAAGTGATTGCATTTAGTGGTCAGTTTTAGTGGCAGTGATGTCAGTGGATCTCTCAAAGGGCCACTTGCCAGGTGAAATTCTAGCCATTATTCTCGGGTATTATGCACTACTCGCTTGGCCATGTTTGTGACTAAGAAGCCATTACCGATTCAGTCTCTCTATAACACCGGATTTTTGGGAGGAGTATTGGGAGGGTGGAAGGAAAGTTTACAGTTGGGAGCATTTGTCACGAGCTCTTGTTGGCCATGACACAAGTGCAGCTTACAGCATTTGATAATTCAAATGTCAATCCACCAGAGAAATTGTTCTCAGATGGAGGGGCCCTGCCCATCAAGGCCAGCAGAGCCACTGACTCTGAAAACTGCTGCTTTCATCTGTAATTTTGCTTGTGCCATAAGAGCAGTGGCATCTCCCCTCTACCATGCATTTTCATGTAGTGTGTATATATAGTCTCATGATTATATCTCACTCTTATGGGCACATATATCTGTGGGTGGTCAAGAAGATAACTACGTTCTTCACATTGTGGTTGGAAACTTAGAAACCTGTTCTCTATCATTAGCCTTACTGACAGAGTAACTTGGCCAAACAAGGGTCCTTCTGAACAGATCACAGACAGAACGTTCACAGATTTGACTTATGAAGTTGTAGGTGTTTGACCCTGTAGGATCTAAGCCCTTCAGAGGATTTATGGTGAACTAGGGTGTTATTGCAGGTGTCTGTCCTTGTTATATCACAGTCCTTCAAGAGATCAATAGCATTGATATTGCCCAAGTTTCCTTAATCAGCACCTCTCTACTCTGACTCAAAAAAACCATTAACACCTTGTGCCAGTTTTTAAGCAAAGATTTTAGATTCAGTAAACTGTTTTTGTTTAGGTCCTGAGATTCAGACAATAAAAGAAGGCTGTTAATTTTCTAACGATGTCCAGATATTACTAATCGCACTTAAGAAATGTAAAATAATAACGTACATTTCGCATTTTCCTTAGTGCTCTCAATGGTTTAGTTTTCTGCCTTTGTAACCTGTGGCAGCCCCTTCAAGAGATGGCTGGAACCTCCTCACAGCTGCAGCTGTGGTTGGCTGCAAACTAGCTGATAATTTTTGTTATATACCTTCAACGAATGCCTGTGTTCCTGAGATAGGACCGTGTAACCTTTTTGATTGCTGACAAGTTGCTAATGAATGGATGTATATATGTTTGGGGTTTTGTAGTGGTTGGGGAATAAGAATATAGAAGATATAAATTTAAAGGAATAAGAATGTTAGAATTGGTACAGAAAATTAGAGCTAAGAAATTATAGTCAATTAGGACAAGAGAATTAGAATTAAAGAAGAAATAAAATAACCCTCAGATACAGTGTGAAGTTATTATAGAAATCTTTCAATACCTGCTTCTGGGAACCATTTCTCTTTTGGAAACCTGAATAGGGACTGGGAGCTGATTTGTTGGCCTTTACATTTTACTTTCCTTCCTAATATATAGTCACAAATACATAGAGAGAGTCTTTCTATATATAGCCCTGGCTGGCCTAGATTTCTTTATGTAGACCAAACTAGCCTTGAATTGACAAATCTCTGCTTGCCTCTCTGCCTCTAGAGTGCTGAGATCAAAGGCACATGCCACTACACCTGGCTGGTAACCACATTTTTTAAATGAACTTTTACTTGTAATGTTGAAAGAACATAGAGTATCTAGCGTCACAGGTAACAGAGATCTTACATGTTGATATTATTATTTCTCAAGATGAATTCAGGATCTGATTATACTGCTCAATGTAGAACACTTGACTACCGGGCATAAAGTTTTACATTCAATCCCCCGCATCAGAATAATAGTAAAAATGACAACAACGAAAACTAAATGGGGAGAGAAAAAGCTGAATCCAGGAAAGATATTTTGAGCACTGTAGTAGTAGTTTTAAAGTTCTACGCCATTTTATTTTCCCAGAAAGAACGAAAGGAATCCCCACTTTCATAGCTCTAGTGAATTAAAAATATTATAGAAACATCAAGAATGCTATATTATCATTGGCTTAGGCTGTACAAAGAGAATGTTCACACTGATAGCTTCCCAGTCCTGCTTTCTTCCTCACGTTATGACTTAAAAGTCAGAAGACCAATGAAGTACAGTAGGAGCACAGAGCCCACCTGAGCTCCTCCAGGTAGAGCTCGGAACAGTGAGGGGAGAGTCCAGAAACTCTCATGACCTCCTTCTCTGCCTAATCCAAATCCCTCGCTGGACTGGTTTTGAGGCACCTTTCAAGATAATCAGAGGAAGCCAGTGTGGTGGTTTGAAAGAAAATGGCCACCAAAGGAAGTGGCACTCTCAGGAGGTGTGACTTGGCTGGAGTAGGTAAGTCCTTGTTGGAGGAAGTGTGTCACTGTAGGGATGGGCTTTGAGGTTCTCATATATGCAAAAGCCACACCCAGTATCTCAGAACACTTCCTGTTGCCTGCACAAGATGTAGAACTCTCAGCTACCTCTCTAGCACCATGTCTGCCTGCACACCGATGTGTCCCACCATGATGATAATGGACTGAATCTCTGAAACTGTAAACCACCCAAACTAAATGTTTTTCTTTATAAGAATTGCTGTGGTCATGGTGTCTCTTCACAGTGAAAGAACACTAAGACACCAGGTATCCTGTTGCTATGATAAACTCCATGATCAAACCAGTTTAGGGGAGGAAAGGTCTATTTGGCTACACTCCCAGCTAACAACCCATCTTTCATAGAGCTGATGCTGACCTGTAAGTGATTGGGTTGGAATTTAAGGTGCATTTTAGATGTTTGCAAGGTTGATGAATCAACCAGAGATGAAGCAGCAAACACTAGATGCTAATATTCTGCACAATGCATGCTAACTTTACAAGAGGTAAGTTCACTGGTGGTTTTGTACATGTTCCCATGACTTAGATTCTTTGTGCTACCAGGCAACATCAGAAAGGGTATCTACTTGTGTGAAGAGACCCCCTGGCCCCTCACTCTGCCATCCTTCTGATTTCTCAATGGCTCCCTCTGCTTCTGTCCCTTTTTGCCCTAATTGCATCCTAAAACACCAGAAACTGACCTCACACATGTGAAGTGGACACACACCTTCAGAGGTCCCTTGCTTGAGTCTGTCTCAAATTTAACACATTAAACATCTCAGGACATTTCAGGTTTATAATTTTGGTTAGAACTGTAGTTCCAGGTCAAATATGTGTTTTTAAGAGCAAATAACACGGTTCTTAATAGACTTTTAAAATCACATGGTAAGATCTTTTTTGTGAGTGTCAACAACAGAATGATCCATGTTAGAACCTTTTACTTTTTAGTGAGAATACAAACACAGCCATTGTCCTATAAACTAAGAAAAGAAAATAATTCTGCATATTTGTGCTCAAGCAGTTTTCAATTTATGCATGGTTAACACTTATTTATCTTATTTTATTTTTAAAAATCCTACAAACAGAATAGTTTCAGGCATGAAAACTCCAAACCATTACTAGAAAATGAAGTTTCACTTTAGATCCCCAAACTGTGACTTTTTAATAAACCATCATCTACAAAGTCTTGATTTTCTGATAGCTTATTCTGGGACTGTGTATCAAATAAACAAATTAATTTACTCTTGGCTCTTTTAAAGAAGTTTTTACTAAGTTGAGGGTGTAAGTTTCAGAATATAATGTATGCTGCCAAATTCTGTAATTCCTTTTACAAAAATGTCATACAGGGTGTGGTACATTTAGGGAATTTTTTTAAAGTTGTAATTCCTGGTAAGTTTTTTTTTTTGCCCTTGCTTTAAAACAAAAACAAAAACAACAAAACAAGCAAACAAACAAAAAGCAGTGATAAGGCAGGAAGGGGCTGGAGAGATGGTTCAGCAATTAAGAGTCCAAGCAACTCTTCCAGAGGAACAGGGTTCAATCCCTAGCACCCACATGGTAGCTCACAACTGGCCAGTTCCAGGGGATCTGATGTCCTTTTCTAGCTTCCTGAATACTGCACACACATGGCGCACAGACATACATGCAGGCAAAACACCCAAACATGTAAAATAGATATTTTAAAACTATTTAAAATGCTTATGCAATCTAAACCTGAAGAGGGCTTCCAACTTTCTGCCTGTAGTCTTTGCTTGCCAGAGTGTTAAGTTCTTAACATTACAAACTCATTAGCAATTAAGTCTTTAAAAAATATTAGTGTGTGTGTGGGGGGGGGGTGTGCTCACACCCATAGAAACCAGAAGAAGGTATTAAATCCCAGAGAACTGAAGTGTCTAACTGAGCTGCCTAACATGAATTCTGGGAACTGACCTCGAGTCCCCTGAAAGCGCGGCAAGCACTCTTAACCTCTGAGTTGTTCCTTCAGCTTCAGAACCGGAGTCATAAAAAGCATTGCCTTAATTTTTTTTTTCCTTACAAAGAAAAAAGTAATTTAAAAGGAACAACACTGACAAAGCCTCACAGTTAAGTTGTATCTCCCATGGGTATCGAGTCCATTCTGCTGCTCTAGGTCTTTTGTGGCTCTCTGATGCCACACTAAAGGGAAGATGTTTTTCTGTCAAAGCCTCGGTGGTACAAGGCTAGAACTGCCCTCGTCCAAAGTGTGTAAATATTTTCACTCATCAATAAAGTTTCCTTTTCCAGCCGTTGGGGTAACTCTTCAAATAAGAGAGAAGCCCGCGGAGAAACACCATTTACAGAAGCTAAGGTGGGTGGTGAGATGAGCGGATCTGACATTTAATGACAATTCACTCACAAATCTCTTACTTGGAAACACATGTGGAAATCTGCCGACAAAACTATCTCTCTACTCATTGTTACAGACCCGTGAACACAGGCTCTAGCGCGTGTGTATTTAAAGCAAGAATGAGAGCTGGAGGTCCACTATGGAAGGATCTCTTTACTTGTCCCTTGGGGCTGCAGTTCCAAGAAGACAAAGGAGGAGTGTGGGGGGCTCCCCAGCAGGCCTGCTGCGTTTTACTTAAAAGCAAGCTGCGGGCAACCCCCCACTCCCACCCCGGAGAACCACGGCTGGCCCTGGGTACCGCTGGCTGGGCTCCCTTCCCCGGCGGCCGCCCCGGGGGACAGACCGCGGCCCCTCCCTCCGGAGAACAAACGGGACATTCAGCCGCCGCCCGCGGCTGCCAGGGCGCGTCCCCCGGGGAAATTAGGCGTGGAGTCGGTCGCGAACGCCTTCAAAAGCGGCCCTCCCGCCGGCCGCGGCGCACTCGGTACCTGGCTGCGGGCGCCGAGCAGGATGCCGCAGTGAGCTGCCGGCCATGGGGGGCGCGAGCGCCTGCATCCCGCTCTGCCTGCTGCTGGCTGCCGCGCAGCTGGCCCGGTCGCAGACCCCAGAGAGGTAACGCCCGCCCTGCCCTTCCCGCACCCCTGACCCCGCACCTCGCCACCGGGGGCGGCCCTGCTCTCCCCCGAATGCTGGAGCTGCGGCCCCCAGGTCACCACGTGGCGCGGCTCGCTCTCCCTTGCCTTGCCTCCCCGCTGTTTGTGTGCGGGTGCAGGGCACACTCGCGCTCGAATGTGCTCCCTCCTCTTCCCTGCTCTTTTCTTCCCCGCTCGGCCAATCTAAGGCAAACCCAGGGAGTCGTTCTTTTAACTGAGTTCTCACTAACATCCAGGGCAGAGGACGGCTAACTCCCGCATCACCTCCAGCCGCCTCTATCTTTCCCTTTCCCTGGGCGCGGGGAGGGGCGCACGGAGAAGCTCAACTTTCCAAAAAGGGGAGAAAGCAAGGCCTGTCTCCAAATCTAGGCACTTACAAACTTTATATTTACCACGACTTTTAAATCATGCGACTCTCCCAGAGTGTCCCTCACCGGTGACCTCTCCCACTCTCTCCAGTTAAGTCATTCAATTTTTATATAATACTTTGACTGGAATATCTCTATCTTAAGCTAATGATGAATTTGGACGCGTTATCGGGTTATGATTTCAATATTCTAAAAGCTGGCAAGATTTCAGACTTTTTATCTGGTGCAAGATTTTTGCTAAACAATATTAACTCGTTCATATCAGCTCGGACACCTTTTTGAAAACCACTTTAGATTGCTAGACCGTGTTTCAATTTAAGTGTCCTCTCCTTTATTTTCCCAGACCTGTTTTCACATGTGGCGGCATTCTTACCGGAGAGTCTGGATTTATTGGCAGTGAAGGTTTTCCTGGAATGTACCCTCCAAATAGCAAATGTACTTGGAAAATCACAGTAAGCATTTCTTTTAAAGGTGTTCTTCTGGACGTGGGTACTGCAAAGAGTACACTATGATGTCAATCCCCCCGGTGTTAGGATCGGGTTTAGTGGGAGATGCCTGAGAACGTGAAATGTTGCGTTTACTTCATTTGGGAAATTTTTGTTAAGAAAGCCGGTGGTGTCCTGCAATAGCGATTAGACCGGGCTCAAGATGTGGCTGGAAGAAGGAACCCTTCAAGTAGATGTTTCTGAGTTAGTTGAGCTTTATGAATTCACGATTAAGGCTGTTTCTAGTTAGAGGTCTGTTGTAAGGGCCTTTGACAGCTAGATGCTGTTCATGCCTGCGTAAATCCCTCCTGGGAAATAAAAGGTCAAAGTTTTGACTTCTTTATACTCAAGAGAAGAACAACAGTTACCACCCTGCTTGTCCCTTCTTAGGAACCACCACTAAGGCAACTTAAGAACGGAGGGTGCTAATGAGGGCTTTAATAAAATGCCACAGTGGTCAGCGCTGGCTGTATTAGCCTGAGTCAAGGCGAGAAAGCAGATAGAGACACAACTAATGTAAACAAAAGTCTGGATTTAGAGTCAGCTGGCTGAGTCATATTTCCAGTCACTGCTGCTGTAACTTTTGTTGCCACCTTCACTTTGCTGTTGCTCTTGGGAAGTTATTTGGTAATCAAAAAAGCCCATCTAGTCAGAACGTAACACCCACCAATCATGATTCGTTGTGTGGATGTATTTTATGTTGCGGAAGGTTGCACTAGGGCCTCATACATGCTAAGCCCCGGATCATGTTTGAAGTACTTAAATGAGCCAAGTAATTAACAAGTGTCTCACAGGATCCACAGAATCACTCTGATCGTCGTTTTGCCTATTTTATAAATGGGAAAGCTGAGGCCTAACAGGATTATATAGAGACATTGATTTGATAAGCCCTCTTTCACCTGTTGTGCAGTGATGTTTGGCAGACCGATTTGATATAAAATACAAATTTAATATAAAATTTGACTTTTTATGCATTATTACTCTCCTGTAAAATCTCAGTGAATGGGTACAGACTTCATTATGTTGTTGCAACACATGCAACTAGGGTAGGAGATGTCCCAGAAGCAGCTTTGAAATGCTGATATTGCTAATACATGTGAAATAAGACTGGGAAACAAATGTAAGATGGCTTAGCTTTATATTGTCGTTGTGTTTTCATTGTGACTCAGTGGTTTTGAGTTCAGAATGATCCAAGAGGCATCATGTGTCTAACTAGGTGAAATCCACGCTTGGTTGTGTATTTGGGAGATGTATCGTCAGGTTGCTGTGGTATCAGGCTTTCGTGAGAGAGGTGTGTGTCCAGGGAAGATGTTTCTGGATCAGGGAGGGCTTTGCCTCAGAGGAGGTGCAATTGCCAAGAGAGAGAGAGAGAGAGAGAGAAAGAAGGACCTTGGGGTGGGATGGTGGAATGGGTATAGAGTGTTCGGGGATGGGGTGGAAAGAGGTTTAATGACCTTAAGAACTGTCGAGGAGGGCAGTGTGGCTGGGACAGATGAACAAAGACCGTAGTCTGGAGAAAAGTGGGGGAACTGAGCCAAGAGGATCCTGAGTTTGAAGCCAATCTGAAACCCTGAGCAGTGTGTGTGTGTGTGGGGGGGTGTGACGGGTCCAGGGGGCTATGATACTGTTAAGGATCCAGGAAAGGATGGGGTGACTAGGGTTCTAATAACAAGGATGAAGAAACGGGACATCTTCTGCCTTCAGTGTTTCACAGGCAGATGGACATGCAGCCAGGGTTAGGTGGCACCAGCTGAGAGGTCCATGTGCCAACTTGTCCCCTTTCCTTTGTGGCTTCTATCGTAAACAGGGGTGATTTCTGCTGGGGGTTTACCCAAAGCCTTCTAGAAAGACTTTCTCAAAGACAGTTGTATTAGACAAGGTTCTCTAGAGAACTGGAACCAATAGTATGTGTGTGTTTGTGTCTGTGTGTCTGTGTCTGTGTCTGTGTGTCTGTGTCTGTGTGTCTGTGTGCTAAAAGCGGATCTATTAGGCTGGTTTGTACCATATGGTTTGGGGAGTCCACCTGTGCCTGTCAGCACAATGGACAGGCGAGAAAACAATCAACTCAGTAACCATTCAGTCAACACAACCTGGTACCTCAGCACTGGGAGCCTGGAGGCTCCCTGGAGAGCAGCTGGTGTGGAATCCACATCAGAAAGCAGAGGAAGCCAGGGTGTGATGTCAGTATAGGATGGCAGCAGCCGGGGACAGACACACTGGTTCCTCAAGAAGAGAAGACAGGATCGTGCATACCGCTGTTTCCTCCTGCCTCTTTATATCTGGGGTGCCGGGGAAATGGTACCACCCTCAGCCACTCCTCTCTGAAAGACAAATGACATCTTTCCCCTGATAAGAAACCCAAAGACCTAAAACCTCATAGACACGCCCTGAGGTGTGTCTGCTCTGTGACTTGAAGTTCCATCAGGTTGACAATCAAGATCAAATGTCACCTCAATTGATCCCGTTCAGTTTTCCGCTCCTGCAGTAAGTAAAGCAAGAGTGGGGGTCCACTGGAACTCAATGTTACATATTATATTATATTAATTATTATATATGTGTATGTACATATATACATGTACACGTGTACAAGCTGAAGTCAGAGGTTGACATCTAGTTTTTTCTTTAACGCTGCTCCACTGTTGGGAGCTGTTTAAATAACAACACACAAATTGTATTCATTTAAACACTGCTTGGCCCATTAGTTCTAGCCTCTTATTGACTAACTCTCACATCTTGATTCAACCCATTTCTAATAATCTGTATGTCACCGCAAACTCGTGGTTTACCAGGAAAGATTCAGCATGTCTGACCTGGCAGCTTCATGGCAGGCAGCTCTCTGCCTCTGCCTCCTTTCTCCCAGAATTCTGTTCTGTCTACTCTACCCACCTAAGGGCTGCCCTATCAAAAGGCCAAAGCAATTTTCTTTATTCAACCAATGAAAGCAACACATAGAAAGAAGACCCTCCTATACCACTCCACCTTAATTTGTAAGACAGTGTCTCTCACTGAACCCTTCTCTCACCGGGTGTCTAGGCTGGCTGGCAAGCCCCAGGGCTAGTCCTCTCTCTGCCTCCCCAGCTACCATCATCCTCCACTAACAACAGACTTTACACTCCCCTCCCATCCCAACCTTTCCAGCTGAAGATATGCACGGCAAGGTGGATCTCACCCCCAGATGGTTACCATGGAGCTGCTTCATCAGTGGGGAAATAAGGACGTCTGATGTGTGTTTTAAAAATTGTGCCAACCAAATGTTTTAGCCCCTTGTCTTAGCCTTCCTGGGCATGGAAGTGTAGCTTGCATATGGGACGTTTATCTTTTTCCTTGTTTTTATTTGTTTTTTTTTTGTTACAATGATAAAGCTCTGACCAATACCAATATGAGGAGAAAAGGGTTTATTTCATCTTAGACTTTACAGTCCATCATTGAGGAACGCAAGCAAAAATCTGGATGCAGGATCTTCAGCGGAATCATGGAGGGGGTGCTGCTTCCAGGCTTGCATCCTCTGCCTTGTCCAGCTATTTTTGTTATATAGCTCAATCCTACTTGTCTGGGCAAGTCACTATGTATATCTACACATCTGTATCTATATCTATACCTACATCTAGATATAGATCTCTCCTATATCAATTAGTAATAAGAAAATGCCCCACAGCTATGCCGTAGGCCTATCAGATGGAAGCAGCTCCTCAGCTGAGATTCCCTCTTCCTAGTTGGCTCTAGTTTGTGTCACCTTGACAAAGACTAACCAGCACGGGCCTGGTAGAACTCACTTCCCTCAGAGGTGGGGATCAAACTCAGGGTCCTCAACAAGCAAAGCCCTTGCTGTACAACTGAGCTAGATTCCCAGCCTCTATTCTAGTATTTTAAATTCTAGGGCAATTTCTTGGATGACAGCACTATTGTCCACATGGTCTATATGGATTGTATAAATTAAATGAGTTTCATTGCCTTAATCATAGTAGCTACTTTTAAGTGTTCAATAGTACCCCTCTCTCCTCCCTTCCCGTGTGTGGGGCTGCATGTTTGTGAATATTTTCATCATTATAAAATGCCCCTTTGGGCAGTTCTAGAGAATTTTAGGGATGAATTTTGCTTGTGGACAGACATACAGAGAGTGGAAGTGCCCCAGACTGCCTAGCTGTACTTCTGCCCCGTCAGTGGAGAAGTGATATTAGTCCTCCATAGTTGATGACTTAATCCTGTTGACTCAGCCTTATCATTCTGGTTGTCAGCGTATGGTGGTGGCAGTAGTTGACTGGGTTTTAGTAATTTCGTCTGGCTGAGTGTGTTCTTAAAAAATGCATGGCTAGACATTAAATCAGATGATTTGAGGGTTATGAAATGGTTGGATATTTTGTAATCCATGATGAGAGTGAGTGTTCTTGACTTCCTGTAGATGTTAACGCTACAGGCAGCTAACCACATGGACATCTGCATCAGATGCCAGAGCCTTGCGCCTGTTGTAAGGGGCAAGGATTGAGTACAATTCAACAACTATGGTCCTTGAAAAAGTGGAGATCAATCTGGTTAAGCAGGTTTGGAATAAAAGATTGCGGTGAGACTGACGTTACCCCGACTGACTGGAGCATGAAGACCACGTGCCAAGCCCAGCAGCCAGAGATGAAACTCCAGATCTTGGCACACTCCCACCACACTGGGTTACAGTGCTCCTTCGCAACATGTGCAGAGGATGATGGGAAGTATCTGAGATCCTCAGAGAAAATGGGGAGTCAGCAATGAACCTAGTCAGCAAGGACTTAGCCAATGTAGTGAACTCACTGGCCAGAAGCCTTTACAGCATCCCTCACCCCCACCCCAGGCGGGCCTAGGTGATGTCAGAAGTGGTGTGAGTGCGTGACAATGACCGTGAGGTGTGCGCTGGTGAGAGAAAGCCCCCCAGACTCCCTGCAGTTCTAGCTCTTTCTCGCCCCTGGCAACCAGATCATCATCCTGTGAACAATTTC